TGTGTGTGTGTGTGTGTGTGTGTGTGTGTGTGCATTTAAAAGCCTGTGGGGACACGTAGCGGCTGCAGCGACACACTTGAATCACCCAAACAAAGTGTCCCGTAGACACACATACAATACATGCACACAAACACACACGACCCGTTGGTCGGATCAGTGTGTGAATGTTGGGCTGTAGAGTGGAGAGTGGTCAGCTGGTGGTGAGATGAATTGAACATTGTTAGAACTGTAGTTTAATGGTCAATGCTATTGTTGAGTCTTTGTCTGAAAAATGTTTGTTTAAATTAAACAACAGGTCAGATGTAGCTGGAAAAGTACACCGTCCAGAGCACATTTAACATTTATCAACATATGGCTAAAGGTTAAGGCTCAGTGTAAACCTATGTTTTAATGAGGTAAGGTCAGGAATAATGGAACTCACTATTAATGAAGTCTACTTTGCTTTTTTTCCCAAGAAAAAACAAAAAAACATTCTAAAACAATATTTCTGTAATGTTCTCACTGGTTTTGGCGCCCCCTGATGGTTAATTGCTGCTGCCCATGCTGAACAAAAGAACGAAATGACTGAATATATTTTTAAGACTTTTTTTTTTACCGACTCTGTTCCCTTATTCATTTTATACTTTTGATCAGCTTTTAGTCCGACCTTCCCGTCCCCTCTCTCTCCCATACAGTTCCACAGTCTCTCGCCCTCTCTCCAAATCCTCTGTACGTCTTTTTAAGATCCTGAAATCTCTTCTCTGTTCTGCGCAAATCTCACAACAATGACGGTGGTCTTTGAGCGTTAAGAGTGTGTGGCCCCCAGACGACGATAAGCCTCCAGTCAAAGAGTCCAAACGCCGTGGGCCAATCCCTGCCTCCCAGTGCATTATGGGACTGTGATAAGGACACAATTGTTGAGCCGGTTTTTATCATGTTTCTGATGCTAATTCATCCACTGCTGCTTATTCTTCTGTACTGAGGAGATTTCATTTGTTTGGAGGGTTCAAGACTGGGGTAGTGCACGTGTAGGAGTGCATGTGTGTGTGTGTGTGTGTGTGTGTGTGGCTGTCTCACACACATATGGGATGTACTTATGTGTGTCTAAATCAGTTTGTAACATCAGCATCTCCCCCTGGTGGCTAACTGTATTACAAATGATTACCTGTTGACCAGTTACAGTACACAGGACGGGCTGTTGGTATGGGCCACATGTTGTCTGGAGCCCCATATTCCAGAGGGGGGTGCTGCTCCTGTCCCCTGTTACTGTTAAGCTCTAATATTTAACCGCTGCCCCCTAATGGTTGAATGTATTGCATTTTGAAAATATATAAGTGTGCATATGAATATCAACACCGGCTTCAGAATGCATGGGTACCCACAATGCACTGCTTCTACAGTCACTGTGTAAGATTTGCGTAAAAGGGATTGAACAGATAATCATGAAGGACAACACACACATTTGTGTGAGCGGTAAATAAAAACAAACGACACAAACACAGAGAATCCAATTCATATGAGTTTACATTAAAGAAACAGGAAGTCTTTAATCTCAGGGACTCACTCCATTAATTCTCTATGTCTCTCTCCCTCTCTCCCCTTCTCTCTCCTTCTTCTTGATGATGTGATTGCATTCAGTTGTTGTGTGTTTTTGTTTTGACTAATAAATCACCATTTATCAGAGCCGTCCTGACAAGTACACACATACACTCATTCACTAACACACACACACACACACACACACACACACACCTCCAAACACACAGCAGCAGCAGCCAACAGTTCATAATGGAGCGTTCATTTGTCATCCTCTGAGCTGTTGACAAGGATATGGGCACTCAGTGTGTGTGTGTGTGTGTGTGTGTGCGCACACTGTACCCACACATACACACTTACAAATAATAATAAAAAAACCCTTCAGTACCAGAAACACTGCACTGCTGTCTCCTCCCTGTGGTTTAGAATGGAATCTCGTTCAAAGGTAGTCAGAGTCTCTTCAAATGATCACCGTTATCTCCACAAAGTCACATGACAACCAGATTAGGTCTGTCCTCCGCTACACCAGTCAGAAAATCAATCTTCAGACCAGACGTCTGCAATACAGGCTGGGCAGTTCTTATGGGGTCTACGGAGGAGCTGCTGCGAGGGTGTGTGTGTGTGTGTGTGTGTGTGTGTGTGTAAGTGAGTGTTGCTTGACCAAATCTCTTCTTATTTAACCTTTCCATTTGAATTAAAAGCTAAATCTAAGAGCTGTGTATGGTACAGTGTCCTGGTTGTCTACATGACTCTAGACCTACATTAATACTGTATAAAACACTCTTTTATATAATGAACAAGGGGATCGCTGCTTCACCTCTCCATCAAATCTACAAATCTTGGAGATCCCTGCCTTCGTCCTCGACCTTTAACCTCCTCTTCTCTAGACAATTCTACTTTGGCCTCCAGTTTCTCCTTGGTTTTCCCGGTTCCTGCTGTGCAAAAAATGTACCAAAAGATGAGGAATGTCCTTATGAATGAGTCACCGGAATGGAACAGGAATTTAATCTTTAAAAAAGGAAGTTCTTTTTTTTACAAATTAGGTAATATTTTGATATCCCAAATCACACTTCCCGTTTCCTTTGCTCTTGTTAAAACAGAGAAAACAATAGGCCTCCTCGGCATGTGTGTGTGTGTGTGTACACGTGTGTGTGTGTGTGACCTTGAAATGTTCTAAATTTTTACTTGAAATTCTCTACAATTAACCAAAAGTTAGCCTAGATATTTATTCCTAATTCCTTAGCAGAACAAACCAAACAAAAATATTGCAGAGCTGAAAATATAACTGTAACATCTTCATCTTTTCCGACTCTTCTTCTACTACCTCTTCCTCCACTTCTTATCTCTAACTTCTTCTTCCTCTTCCATTTCCTCTTCGTCCTCATCTTCCTCCTACTGCTCCCTCTTCTTTGTCATACAAATAAATCCAATAATCTTCTTCTTTCCTTCATGTTAAAGATGCTCATTAGTGAAGACAGAAGCAGATTTTTTTCTTTGTTAATTGGAGATGAGACCATGGAGCGAAGCCAGAACCCCAGTCTTAGACACACACACACACACACACACACAATTAATGTTGATGACTTCCACTGGTGTCATATAATGTTGGTCTTTGTTAAAGAATGTTAATTTCACGAGCTAATCACAAATGTGTGTGTGTGTGTGTGTGTGTGTGTGTGTGTGTGTGTGTGTGTGTCTCCAGGTTTTGGGCGTCCACTGGGACAAAGGGATTACATGGCTGTAATCCTTTTAATAAGAAATCCCTTTAAAGCAATTTAGTTCCTTCATAAAGTCTCATCTGAAGCAGGAAGTGATGATTAAGAAACAAACCATCTTACACACGCACACGCATCTATAAACACACACACACACACACACACACGCTCATTGACACCCAGTACCACGGGAGCTTCTCTTCATGTTTACACCTTAAACAGCAACAGGATTTACATTTCTGTACTATTAATATACAAAACAAAGATTTTAAACAAAATCAAAGTTCAGCCTAAATTATAAAAAAAAAACTTTCTCCGTTTTACTGCTAAAATTAACCAGAATTCATGTGGAAACAACAAAAAATGAATTAAAAACTGCAGAGATTACCACCAACTAACAACAACTACAAATAGAAAACAAAGCTACTCTGTTCAAAAATCAAGTTTCAGCATAAAGACGTAAATGTGACGCCAAAGTTAAAAATGATCCAAAAGGCTCATCATCAGTGAATGATGGTGATATAAAGGAAACAGTAGGTAAATAATGGTCAGATTTGATTTACATTAGAGGATCTGTGGCAACAAAGCTGATCAAACCAATGATCCTCTAAAAACCTCTAAAAAAAAAGTAAAAACACAAAATGCCCTTTAATTCTAGTCCAATCATGTTAAGAAACTTAAAAAAAGTTAAATAAAGACACTTTTGTTGCTCCTGTCAGGTTTTTTTTTTTTTTTATCTTCTCTGTTACTCCAGCACGTGTTGGAGATGAACCTGAAGATGAATGGCAGCCCAAAGTTTTTTAATCAGGCAGAAACCTTGGCAGCTCCAGCCTCCATACATCATCTTCACCTTCCAGCCTTTTCCTCAGAGGCTGCGGCGCTGATTTAATACCATTATAATGTTTTCTTTTTCTTTATTTTCACCTGCAGTGTTTTGTCTGGGTGGGACACAAGGCTTAAACAGCAGAGGTCTCAGAAGGAGAAACGTTGTGAAGGCTGAGATCTTTGACAGAAAGTCAACTGTTGGACAGAACTAAAGTGTCAACAACAACACCTCACACTGAAATACAACAACAACAACAAAAAAATGACTCCCCAAACTCCAAATTAATTTGACAAACTGATTATTTTTGTCAGTGATTTTACAGTAAGTCATAGGAGCTGCTGTCTGAATCATTTTCACCTCACTGACCACATGGGGCAGTAGGGAACCATCAGCTCCCAGATCCATTTGAGCTTGTGTCATCGATCATTTTCTCTGAGCTTCTATTGGCTGGTGTGGGAGAGTTTAAACGTTTCTATGTTGGCTCCTTGTCAGAAAGAAATTTCTAACATATTTAAATATATATATATATATGTGTGTGTGTGTGTGTGTGTGTTTAGTTTTGGTTAGATGATTTTCTGACCGATACAAAAGTTAATCCAACAAATTCTGATGTTATAAAAAGGTATTGTTGATCCTCCATGGCCTCCATCATTCCATGACAAATGTGTCTTCAGTATTTTAAACCTCTTGTTCCAATTATCCTCAATTACATATTCTGACCACACGAGGCAGCAAAAAAAAAACCCTTTGGCTACTGTGTCCCTGCAAGCTAAAAATGCATATTTGAACTATGAACTATGAAGTTCTCTGTGAAAGATAACGCTGTGTCTCAGTATCTGACGTGACCACACTTTGATACGTCACTACCTGTTTATAGGGACACAGGGACAATAACTTTCCCCAAAGTTTCGTTGAATGATTGTTGTTTCCCTTGTTTTCCTTAGGTGGAGCTGACGGGCAGCAGCGTCTTCGACTACGTCCACCCTGGTGATCACGTGGAGATGGCAGAGCAGCTGGGAATGAAACTGCCTCCAGGACGAGGGATGTCTCTGTCACAGGGAGCCGTCAATGAAGACGGAGCGTCCTCACATTCATCGTCCTCTCACTCTGAGACTCCTGAACCAGGTAGGAAAAAAAACAGAAAAAAACCCTGCTGTTTATGGTTCTAATTCAAATTTCTGGATCAGAGGGTGGGAGGTGTTTTGTAAACTTGAGTTTCCTGTTGAAAAGGTCAAAGGTTCAAACCTTATGATAATGATAAGGCCAAGAACATTCTCCAGATCAACCTTTTAGACCACCCCAGTGACACAAACTGACCACAAGAGGCAGCAGTGAACCAGATATCTGTGAGTTCAAATTGACATACCACAAGAGGCAGCAGTGAACCAGATACTTGTATATCTGTGAGTTCAAATTGACACGTTTCTTTATGGACTTCACTGTGGGAGTTAGCATCTAATCAACTCCCGTTTACTGTTGACCACGTCCATTTAACAGTGTGATAAAACAGTGAACAGACTCTCGGACATCAAAGTCCATCAGAGGAAATTCATACTGATGGACACGGGATTCATTTCCTGCTGCTGCCTTCATTCACATTTACATCAGTGACACACACCGACCACAAGAGGCAGTATCAGGCCTGCAGTTTATAGTCTCTCTGTGAGCTAACATGCGTGTCACCCAGTAGTCTTATTCCCTCTATAGTTCAGACTTCACATTTGTAATATAAGCACCATATCCCAACCACAAATGGGTAACTGTGTTCTTCTAGAACCACACTGTCAATCCTTCCTCTTTCCAACCTTCCAGTCATCATTGTCTCCAACACCAAACGTCTAGGATTCCCAGGCGCTCCTCTTCCTGTCTCCTGTCTTCCGTCTGTCTTTCTTTCTCCTGGGCTGATGATAATTTCAGTATTAGCTGGAAATCCATTTATAAATTAAACAAAATGACTTGATATCCATCTCGTCCCTCACTTCATCAGCCTGTTCAAACACAGAGCAGAAGATTGGCTCTGCGGCCGCCGCAGTCTTTGGAGACAGTGTGGTAATTAGATCTGCCATGGATTTGTTCTCGGCTGATTGGTGCTGCTGACGGGGGAGGAGGATGGGGGAGCTGCAGGGGGAGGGGCGGGACTGGATTTAAATTAATTGGACTTCTACATTTGAGGGGTTTCTTTGAATTTGTGCGAACCTCTAAGTGAGAAGAGTGAACTCCCAGAGATGGAGGTAGAAACAGAGGACGTGTGTGGGTTTGTCCACAGAGACAAATACAAAGAGAGTTTTCAAAAACCTCATCTTTGACACTGCTTACACCGTCTAACAAAATAACTACTTACTTGAGCGCCACCTTCTGGGAAGCCAGGGATGTGAAAGTATTTCTTCTCAAGCAAAAGTTTTAAAAAGTCAAAATTTTCTGCAGGGAAAACATTTTCAATTTTAGGTGAAGTTTTATTGGCAGTTAACTTGAGTTCCTTCACCAATTTTGGTTTTTGGTACCTTTTCTGAGTTTTGGGTTTATTTCAATTTGAGTTTTTAGCCAAATTTTAAACTACTTTTTGGCTCTTTTTTTCTATCTAACTTGTTGGGTTTTTTTTTTTTTTTTACTTTATGGCAACAATATCTTTATTAATACCAAACTGCAAAGGGCCATACTTAATGTCAAAGCACAGAAATGACTTAATCCGGTGGGCAAGCTTGTTAGCTGATAGCCACTAGCCATTTGTCGTTATGCCTCATGGCACGGTTTGATTGGCTCATCAATCATGCGCTGGTAAACTCCTCAAAAACATTTATTCACACATTTGATCAAATCCAGTTATTATTTTATTTGGTTGTTATTGCTTTTATTATTGAAATCGGCCGACATTATGGGACATCTCCAGTTTTTTTTTTTAATCTATTTTTTGTATTTAAGAGAACTTGGCTGTACTTGCCTTGGTAAGCCACAACCTTTTTTCGTTGTATAATGCATTAGCCATAACAATGCAAAAAAGGAGGAGGCTTTAAATAAATGTCTAGGTGTTAATGTCACCGCTGAGGAAAAGTAGTCGGAGGAGGAGCAGTGAGGACAAAGGTGTTTGTTCTCCCACGTTAATACGTTCAGAAGGAAAGGATAAGAAAAAGATAAAGGAGATCGAACAGGAAAGAAAGAAAAGGAGGAGCAGGAGGCCAGGGATGTAGGGACGTGTTTGAATGAGAGCGGGCGTTTAGCAAAATGTTAATTTGTTCAAAAGAAGGAGAAAGACAGAAAAAAGCATCAGCCAGGGAAAAGAAAAAGAAATGGAAAAAGATGGTTTGGGAGGGAAGAGTGTGAATGTAAAGGGGCGAGAAGCAATGACAATGAGAGAGAGAGAGAGAGAGAGAGAGAGAGAGCATTAGAATTCATGTATGTGTTTAATGTTAATTTGAGCAGAGAAAAAGAGCAGGAATAAAAAGGAAAAAAAGGGAAGAGGAGGAGGGTATGTATGAATTTGTATGAGGAGATCCCAGGAGGAGGAGTAGGAGGAGATGTGCACCCTGGGTAATAATCCTGTTTACATAATTATTCAGACATTTCTGCTAACATATTATCAGAATATGCCATAAATAAATAATTAAATAAATGCTGCCTTGTACTGGAAGCTTTTGATATCAGACAGAAGTTTTAGCTAACCACTAGGGGGCGGTTACTTTGGGGTTTCTTTTAAAAGAACTGCTTTTAAATGGCAGGTAAATGTGTATTTTGTTACAGTACCCCAGCTGCCCAGCAGGGGTTGGCTCCAAGAAGTTTTATGGAACTCTGGCTAAACCAGATCTTAGAAAAAAATAAACATTTAGAAAAACAAAACAAAAAAAGATTATTAACATACAATGGTGCAAATGTGACAGGCAGCAGGTGATCGATCCGCTGCATGAAGAGGAGAGGGAAGTGATTAAGAAAGGGGCGGAGCCAGCAGAGGGCGTAGTCAGAGAAACAAAGGGGCAAAAAAGAGGCTGAGCAGATTAATGTGGGCGTGGTTTTCACCAGATATCGACCAGAATGTTACGTTGAAGGTGGACGAATCTTTGGAAAACATTAGTCACTGTCTATGCTGTGGAATGGGGAATGTTGAGAGGCAGCATCAGAAATTAGCAGTTTGAAAAACAAAAATATCCTAAAATATCTGAACCAGTCACTGTGGTGACTGAGGCTTCCAGAGCCCTCACAACAACGCTGTCACCATGTCATGTAGGACATGTTGGTTTGTTTGTTGGTGTTGTTTTTATATTCAACATATTTGATTGATGCTCCTATCAAAACACTATAGCTGTTTTTTCTGTCTTAGCAAACTCTGATGCAAGCAAATTTTATACCAATAAAATACCATAATTTATACCAAAAGAAGGTCCATAAATACAATTTTTTATGTATATTTTTTAATGAAACTATAACTAATGATTTTCTAGTTTGAAGCTATTTTTATACCAAACTTCTGTGGATGCTGCTTTTTACTTTTTTACTACTTCACAGTTTTGAATGCTCTTCTTCTTATGTTGAATTTCAGTTGATGGAATTCAGTTTATACCCAACTTAATGAATGTCTCTTGATGGAACCTGTTCTTTTTTAACTATTCCAAACTCTTTTGAATGCTCCTTTAATGCCTAAGAGCCAAAACTGTTATTGTAAATGTGGAACGACCTTGCAGGAATGTCTTGCTGATCCTCCTTCTGTTCAAGTGAGGAACTGCGGTTCATTCAGACACCCTCGACAGACTGAAGAGGTTCCATTTATCTTAAGATACAAAGTGACTAACGTCAGTATAAGTGCATGTATGAGAATCTTCACAGATGAGTCGCCAAGAGTGGATGGAAAATTGTAACTCAGTGTGTGTGTGTGTGTGTGTGTGTGTGTGTGTGTGTTAGGAAGTGACAAAAAAGGCGAAAACATTTCACCTTGACTTCCTGACCTTCTATAGTCTTCTACTCGTAAGAATGACACCACTGTTGATAATGATAATGACACGTCAAATGCCTGAGCTCCATCTGGTGGTCACATATCAAAGGTCGGGTCAGGGAGATAAGATCAAGACTTGGGTGAGACAAGACCTTTGGTTGGCTTCAAAACGTTGGTTCTGGAGTAAAACGATGCTAATATCTGTGTTTATCTGACCTTTACCTTCAAGCCTGGAGTGTCAGTGACATTTCAAATGTAAACACACACTCACACACACAACAAGTACACGCACGTTTCGTGAGTCTGCCCTTGGCGGTCAGCTGCCATCGTTCTGCGTGACATTAAACGTAGGTGACTGCAAACTCTCCTAATTATGATGAATTTCAGCGATTAATCAAATGACCCCCTCCCACCACCACCTCCACCCTCCATTGTGTTAATAGCATAATTAGCAATGATAATCAGAGACGTATGATGTTGAAATAAGGTGACGCTGCGGACAATTAGCCAACAAGGAGCTGATTACTGAAAAGGGGTAGCATGTGTTTTCTCACTATTGAAACAACCAATAGGAATTCTGATGATTTATTTAGTTTAATGTTTTTACCCTAATACAATTGTATTGAAATTAATACACTATTTAACCCAATTTCCAATCTCAATCACTGATTTCTTCGTGCAGAAGTAAAGAAATGTAGGGGGAAAATAAGAAAAGTTTCCATTGTCAACATCAAACTGCTAAAATCAAAGTCATTTAACAGACAGTAAACATTTGACTTGTAATAGACAGATCTCTGATAAGCTAGCATTAGCCTTTAGTATCAGACTCCTTACATTAAACACTGTTGTTACCTGTCTGACATTAGACTTTTTAATAATTAGACAATCTACATTAGCCTGCTAGCATCATTTATCACACATCTACATTGGGACTTCTTAAATTAAAACAGCTAACATCACTCAGTCAACATTTGACTGGTAACACTGACCTGCAGCTAACATATAGTAGCATATATCATGCTGTTAGCAGCTAACATATAGTAGCATATATCATACTGTTATCTTCAAGCTTTCAGTCACATTTCATCACACTGCTTTGGATTGATGCTGTATACATGTTAGCATCATGCTGCTAAATCTGTTTCAACACAGCATATTGTTGAAAATTTCACACTTGAAGGAAAAATAAGTCCCAATGATTTCAGTCATTTAATTAAATCAGTGCCACAAGTGTGTGTGTTTTTTTTAACCACTCGAGAAAAACAAAGGACTTTTCATGGGCAGAGGATTATTACTTGAGCAAAATTATCCCTTTGGTTAAGTTTCATTAAACTGTCGCCGAGCCGCTGCTCTAAATGGCATCTTCAGAGCACACAATTGCCAATCACATGCCATTATTATTATTCCACTTTTCTAATTAGGCTTCTTAACGAGGTGGGGACTGTTTACAAAAGGAGCCGGAACTGTTTCAGATAAGGGCTGTGGAGGACAGGGCGACGTTGAGACACAAATGAAACGCTCCTCTGTCTGTCTCTTTGCTATCAGTGTGTGAGAGGGAAGATAAGACAGGAAATTCAACACGTTGGGGTGTTCTGCAGGTCCAAGAGTCAACTGTTGGAGTTCGTGTGAGTGTGTGTGTCTGTGAGTGTGTGTGTGTGTGTCTTAGACACAAAAGTGAAGGACAGTGAATAAGGAACTGGCTTTGTGTAAAGAAATTCACTGATTTAGCATTGTGCTGCTAGCCTAAGTGTGCTAACTTAAGACTTTTAGGAACAGAATATAAACCCATTGGAGTCAGAATGTTTACAGGAGATTATAAGAATGTCAAACACGACACACATCTAGCTACACTGCAAACTTTAGACAAATGTATACTGAGTATCATAATACTGCTTTGACAAAGCTAACTTTAGACTCAAACTTAAATGCAAAAAATATGTCAGTGTTAGCTGCAATGTTTTTTGTTAGGCTTTAAGCATGTTTTTTGACCAACCATTAAATTACACCAACAATTGTAGCTCAAATATGTTTTTGACCAACCATTAAATTACACCAATTACAACAATTGTAGCTCAAATATATTTGTATTTAGGTATTTATTATTAACTATATTTATTATATTCAGAGAAAAATAATGAATAAAATGTGAAAAAATATTGACAGAGAGCAAAGATAGTGTTGATAGTGATGTTTGTTTGCGGTTGTTCTTGTGTAAATGTCATAGAAGACGTTGTGTTCAGGTTCCATCCCCTCAGTGGAACAATCTGATATTTGTCTTGTGCGGTTGCTTTTATTTGTTTGTGCTTTTCAAACGTCAGACATTCTATGTTTCAACAGAAACCTCTCGTTTCTGCTGGGTAAATGTAAACAGCATTTCAGCTGAGATGTTGCTCAGACCTCAGTGTAGTCATGTGTCCCTGTGGAGTAACACACACACACACACACACACACACAGAACGAGGTCTCTGGTGGACGCCGTGCTTTGATCAGTGCTGATACATGTTGACAACATCTAATCTGAGAAATTGAAAGAAATGAATTAATATGCAAATTCATCCTTTATAATATAAATGTCCTTGAAGAACAAGAGAGACAGGGAGGGACAGAAGAGAAACAAATAAAAAAGAAAGAAAAGTGAAAAAACAGCAGTGGATGAAGAGATTTGACAGAAAGTAAAGAAAAAAGAACGATGTTTTATCTTGTACAGTTTTTGAATTTTTTTAGTTTTCCATGAGCTTCTTCCTCTTTTTGTCCAATATTGATCTTTTTTTCCCTTTGACCTATTTTTTTTTATTCAGGTTAATGGTTGTCTTTCTTAACAGCTAATTTTTGCTAACAAATTCAATTAGAGATATGTATTATTATTTTGTACCTGAAGCCTGGTTGGACATTCTAAGCTTCATTTATGTCGTCCTCCGTTGGCCTCCCCTTACAGTTTACTTACAAGGTGAATTCAGAAAGTTTGAAGCCGTGTTCCAGTTGACTTTTAGCTTTGGTGTTTAAATCTTGGTGGAGCTCTGTTTTCCGTAACCTTGGCATTCGCCTCTGTCTCGTCTCCGTCACGTTTACCGACTTATCAGTGAAAACAGGATTCGTGTTGGCTGAATTAGACTGAGCGTGAGACGGCGTCCCTCTGAGACAGCCTTACGTGCCGGTACGTGCTGCGGTGCACTCTGGGTATTATTGTCCGCAGATTGCAGATTGCGTAGGTGAGTTGTTCTTTTTTTAATTAATGGTTTGTCCTTCAAAGACGGGAAAGTTTCCCTCTGGAGATAATTAGGTCCCGGAGCCGAGTGGCAGTGAATGTTCTCCGTCTTTGTGAAAACTAATCTGTGTCGGTAACAGCGTTGTCTCTGGAGGAAGTGGAGGAGGAAAAGGAGCAGAATAAGAAAACACCTCTGAGTCCACACATCAACCTTCTACACCTTCATCTTCTGCTCCTGCTTTTGTTGATGGTTCTCCTTACACTCCCTCTGCTCCTCCTCCTCCACCTTCACCTTTTCCTCTCCTGCTCCTTCGTTTTTACCTCCCACATCCTACTTCCTGTCCTCCTCCTCCTTCTCCTCCTTTTCCCCGTTGACCCTTTTGTTTGAGCTTCTCCTCCTGCTCCTCATCTCTGTTTTCTTCCTTTTTTTGTGCCTCCATTTACTCCCAGTCATTCTTTCTTCTCTGTTCTTTCTTCTTCTTCTCGTCTGTCGTTGTCCTCCTTGTTCTTCTCTTTCTGTCTTCTCCTTTTGTCTTTAGTTTCAGGCTGCTCCTCTTCCTACTTATTCTTCTTTCCTCTTCTTTCTCATTTCTTCTTTATCTCCTCCATCATCATCATCATCATCTTTTTGTTGTTCTTCCCATCTCCAACACCTTCTCTTATTCCGTCGTTCCTTAGATCCACTTAGTTTTGTACTAAATCTGCGTCACTTCAGATTATTCAAATTAATTACACTAGATGTTCATTTAATCGTGTGTGTGTGTGTGTGTGTGTTCCTCAGTGGAGTCCAGCAGCAGCCCCAGCCTCCTGTCTCCTGACAACACTCTAGAACGTTCCTTCTTCATCAGGATGAAGTCCACACTCACCAAGAGAGGAGTTCACATCAAGTCGTCAGGATACAAGGTCAGAAACACCGTCGACCGACAAACACAAACAACTGCAAACATTTGTCAGGTTGGACAATCGGATCAGCTTTGGCAGAGAACTAAATGTGTTTTATATTCTAACAAAAACATTTTTTAATTTCCTCTTTCTCTTGAGCCTGAGCCACAAACAACCAAAATAGAAAATAAAAACAAAAATAGCAGAATCTCATCACGTCCAAATGACAGAAGAGACAACAGACGCACATAAACATCCATAAACATGCATGAATAAATTACTGCACACTGCACAGCCACTGTTTCACACACACACACACACACACACACACACACACTGGTGCTTCTTAACTATTAAACATACTGTAATAGTTTTTAATAGGGCTGTGGAAATAATACATTCATTGCATTAAAAAATGTTGAAGATTTATCTGATTATTATTATAATCTTGTACACAGTTGATACACGTGTTGTTATTTACACACCCTGTGGGAGTACACACAACATTTTTGCATAGAAGACCTGTGTAGTCCAACGTCTTCCAGCAGTATATTTGAAAGTCCCAGTCCCACACGAGGCAGCAGTTAATCAAACGCTCGTTTGTTCTGTGGAGCTCAACTTTCTGATCTGCGTTTCCTGATTCAGGTGATCCACGTCACGGGGCGTCTGAGAATCAGGATGGCGCTGACACACAGTCGCTCGGTGCCCAATCAGATCATGGGGATGGTGGTCGTGGCCCACGCACTGCCCCCGCCCACAATCAACGAGGTTCGAATCGACTGCCAAATGTTTGTTACCCGAGTTAACATGGACCTAAAGATCGTCTACTGTGAGAACAGGTAGGAGAAGACGCTGAGGTGACGCCGCACTGCACCTTGATTTATGACACTGACAATGAACACAGTAACTGTATTCAGCTTGACTTCCACAATAAAGTCTATTTTATTTTTCTATAAAGAGTCTATTTTAGTGAAACACTTAAGATGCTAGCAACTGCACTAAGGTCGTTGTGCTAGGTTACCGTCCTCTCTAACCAGCCACTCTGACTCTGGTTTTTGAAGGTAGATGCTACGTTAGCTAGACACACTAGCCTTGAGGTCTACCAGAAACTAAGACATCCCAGTTTCCCTGTTGTAACTGGTTTGTTGACGATGACCGAGAACTGACACAGACTTCAGGTTATCACAGTCTTAAGCTCAAGTCCAGCAGTTGCTATTGCTAAAAATGTAGCTGCTAAGAGGGGCATGTCACATTGCTATTGCTAAAAATGTAGCTGCTAAAAGGGGCATGTCACAAGCTAGAGATGATGCAGACATCTACACCTGCATAAAATAAAATAAAAAAGAACATTTGAAAAAGTTTGATGTTTTTGAAGGCAGCCTTGGTCGTCGAGTTCATCCGGATGTTTTTGAAGGCAGCCTTGGTCGTCAGATTTTAAAGTTAGAAACAGAGTTCATCCATCCATTCTTCTCCACTGCAACCGCGTCAAACTTTGTAGCAGGATTACAGTCGCGTTTTAGTTCTTCTGTGGAAAACAAGATGGGAAAGGAAGGTGTGATGTGTGTATTCATGAGGCTAAGAGACCCAGTGCTGGCTGCTTTAACAGGAAACATGTCACTGATGGATCTATCTGCTCCACTCTGTCCAGATAAAGCTGATACACATCAGGATCAGGATCAGGACTTAACGGCCGCCACACACACTCACACCAGACACACACAAAGAAAAAAAAGATTCAGGTTTTTATTATAAGAAGAGAAAAAAGGGGGAATTGATAGACAGATTACTTTTTTCTGTGGGTGGGAAAAGAGACCTGTAGGTGGAGGCAGAGGTGGATGATGATGACATTCAGAGACAGAACAGACAAACGTCGCTGCCATTACTGAGCCATTTTCAGGATGAGATTCTAAGAAAATAAGAAAATGGGAGGATGGATTTTTTTTTCTGAAGAAGAACTAGGCTGTGTTGTGATCTTCACCCCCTCCCTCCTTCACCCTCCTCTGCCTCACCCACTTTCTCCTCCCTCTATCAGGAAGAAGCAGGAAATGGTTCTGTCTGTCCTCTGGCAAATTAGTTCAAATTAAAGCTTTTAGACCTGATGTATTTTGTGTGTGTGTGTGTGTGTGTGGTACGATTTTATTAGGTTTTATTTTTAACCTTCTTTTAATATTAGGAGCAGCGATCAAATTTTATGGAAACTAAAATGAAACCATGTTTAAATACACAAACACAGGACGTACAGAGGAAAAACAAGAAAATGTAAAAAATGACAAAAATGTAAAGAAACAGTGAATAAATAGACACAAGAAAAGGAAAACACAAATAAAAATAAAGAAAAAGTCTTTTGGAGAACACAGGAAACAGTCAGGGAACTGTACAGGAGAGAAAGACAAAAATCGACAGAAAAAAAGCAATACACGTAGGGATCGTGTACAGTAGAACAGACAACACACAGTATGAAGTGTCAGTAAACAGATGGGGGATTCCATTAAAGACAAAGCCAAAACAATCAGGAAGTAAACGATATATGAAGAATGGAGAAAAGGATTATTAACAAAATCGATGGGAAATCTGGAAAACACAGAGGAACGATCTGCTCCTCATGTGACAAAGAGAAAATACACGAAAACATGAACGAAGGAAACGTTTTAGGAAAGACACGAGTAGTACTCAACAAATACAGAGGAGGATGTAAGAAACTCAGAAACTCTGGGAAATACCCACAGCATACACACATGATACATACAGGAAATGTAGTGGAATTACAGCATAAATACACAATATACAACTGGAAAATACACAGGAAATCAATAGAAACATACATAAAATAAACAGGAAACATTTAGGGAAATACATGTATAAACAAACAGGGACTGCACAGGAAGTACATAATACATACACTGGAAATTGACAGGAAATCAAACAAACACATACATGAAGTACTGTAAAAAATTATTGGAATTCTCAGAAATGATTCAGGAATTACAGAGACAGTTAACAGGAACTATATATAATCCAAACACAGTGAGATGACATGGAGGACCTCCACTGTAGTTCTCTCAGTTTGTGCTGAATTATTTTTGTTCTTTGTTCCTTTTCCAGAATCAGTGACTACATGGACCTGACACCTGTGGACATCGTAGGGAGGAGATGCTATCAGTTCATCCACGCTGAAGATGTGGAAGGAATCAGACAGAGTCACCTGGACTGTAAGTCACATGACCTCGTCTTCACTCAACCTATCACCAATCTAAAATGTAGCCCAAACACTGCCTCTTTAATTTCATCCCAAACTCAAACTCTGCTCCGACTGCTGGGATCAGCTTCTCTCTGAACCTTAAATCTTAGGATTCTTCCCTTTTCACCACATTTTGGGATTACATTTTCTGGGATGCTCGGACGGTTCTTGGAAATGATCGGGGTTTATTGAATGTCAGAGGGAAATCCTGTTATCTCCACAGCGACCTAAAATTTAAAAGGCTTCTCTTTTGAAAATGAGATGAGAGGTGATCCTGCTCCGTGAGGAAAACCCGGTCTGTAAGTCTGACTTTGATTTCATCTGCTGAGAAACAGAAGGGGGAGATGGTGATGGAAGAGAGATTCATTCAAAGCAGAGACAAACGTAAAGGCCGAACACCGCGGTTTCCTACAGAAAACACCAGAAAAGAAAGAAATGAGAAGGATGGAAGGAGAGAATAGGCAATGAGGTAGAAATACAATTTGAACAGGACACTAAAAAAGGTGAAATAGGCACAAACTTGAATTAAAAAAAAAAAGAATCAGACCAACCAAGAAAGAGAAAATCAGTGGGTGTAGAATGATGGACAGATGGTTGGAAGGAAGGCAATAAAGGAAGGAAAAATTGATTAATGAAAGAAAGATGGAAAGAATAGATGGAAAGAATAAATGATGGAAGGAAGGAAGGAAGGAAGCAAGGAAGGAAGGAATGAAGGAGGGAAGGAAGGAAGGAAGGAAGCAAGGAAGGAAGGAATGAAGGAGGGAAGGAATGAAGGAATGAAGGAAGGAAGGAAGGGAGGAAGGAAGGAAGGAAGGAATGAAGCAAGGAAGGAAGGAAGGAGGGAAGGAGGGAGGGAAGGAACAGAAGAAATCAAGGCAAAATTAAGAAAGAATGAAAGGAGGATGGAAGGAAGGGTGGAATGAAAGATAAGGTGTATGAACAGGTACAGAGTTGGTGGATTTTGAGCCTGCAGGCATTTTGGCAGAGCTACAGTCTCTCTGGACTAAGACTGGCTTTAATGAACACACACACACACACACACACACACACACGCGTGCACATCTTCAATTATAATTCTAAAAACATCTCGTGTAAACCTTTCATAAAAATGCCAGTTTTATTTCTCATCAGTGTGTTTTTAAACACACACACACACAGTCAACTGAATCAGATTCAGATGTTTCATTACACAGCAGATCCTTTTTGATCCTCTGCTAACTCCAACAGTGAGATTCATTCACATGTTGGTCATCTGCTACAAACTGACCACTACACTGCAGGTGACCACTATCTACATGTGTGTGTCTACGTTTGGTGTAAACGTGGCACTCACAGCACCAGGAGTTAAACTATCAACACCCAAACCAAATCTATAGACACTATTATAGATTTTAGCTCACACAAACACAGGAGCAGATGGTTTCTGCTGCCCCGTGTGGACAGTTTGTGTCATGGCGGTACATCTGAATAGGAGATTTCAAACACTGAAGTCACAAAGCAACATATTTCCAATTCCAATAATTCCAACTGCTGATGGAGGCAGCGGTGAATGACATGAATGACATGATGATTGGAATAGGAAAATGAGCAGCCTGAAGATTTTGGCTTTGACATTTTTAAGCTGTAGTAAATGCATTTTGACTAATCCTACAGTAGGTGGTGCTCCTTTAATACATCACATGTTTCCTCATACTTTTCATAACAAACACAACCCCTCATGGTCGTGAACCAAACCTGTCCATGTGCAGTCAGTCGTGAAGCCACATTAAAATAAAAAGTCGTCATTAAAGCCCTGCACTGAAGTCAGCCCTCACACAATCAGCAGCAGGTTCATAAAGCACAAATTAAAGCAGCCCAAAGGAAAAAAAGAGGCAGGTTTCAGAACAATTCACCGCACGGCAGATGACAATGAGAAGAGAGAGGGAGGAAGAGAAGAGAGAGAGGGGGGACAGGGAGCAACCTGGGGCAGCTCGTAGACATCCATTTCTGAACGCGTCCTCTTTCAAAGAGGAAATTAATTTTGAAAGAGAGGAGAATAAAACGAGCAGCCAGGGTGAGAGGAGGTGCAGCATTAGACTGCGCTCCACTAAAACCCAGTCATTTAAAGCTGCGGCTGCCGACTCGCCTCTCTGACCTCCATCCTCACCGCAGACTCAGACCAATAATCTCCGCCCATATTTCACATCCCCCTGTTTCTGTGTGTTTTACACACCCTGACCTCCTCCCTGCCTCCATCTGACCCTGCCATCTGGGCCACCGTAGAGTCACTTCCTGATTGCCACTCTGGATATTCAGAGCTCAGGAACTTTTGCAGACGGTAATTGAAAAACTTTTGTCCAGTCTACTTTTTTTCCTCCTCTCTCTCTCTTCCTCTTCCTGTGTTAGAGTTAGTGACAGGTTTCACTTCGATATGTAGGGTTAGAAAAGCAAGTGTAAAAAAGAAAGTAATAAGGATAAAGTACAGGTTCATCCAATCAAATCTGCATCAGTGGTAGTCAGGTAATAATAGTCAGTCATTAGTTTGTGAATATTAATCAGATTAAAATTAATATATTTTTACCTGAGGGCAGAATGGCAGAGATTGTGTATCCAATAATCTGCTCCAGTACAGAGTCAGAGTTTTTGTTTCACTGAGCAACTCCAGCGTAAAATACCATCAACACCCAGCATGCATTTGTTTAGGTCAGACTACAGACTACGGCAGACCAGCCTCACTGAGCGCACGGCAGCAAAGTTAGTCTATAGCTGATCAGACACAACTGTCAAATGGAGACTGTAGACTGATTAATATGGTTGAGGACGAGGACATTTTGAAAGTTACTCTCGACGTTCTGCAATTCACTGAAGAACTAAAGAAAAGCCCACTCCAAAATGTTGATAGTTTTATTATGTGTTTTTTTAGTTTAGATTCTCCATATATTTCTTCACGTTTTAATTTTAATAACTCCATCGTTTGAACAGGTGTGAAACTCTTACATCCACCTGCTGTTATAACTCTTTATGTTCCAGCATAATATATCATGCTTTATTACAATCAAGACTAACCATAATAACTATAACTATCAGGTCTAATCGTGATTAATCATTGGTCCACAGTAAGGCTGTGTACAAATAAACAGCTATTTATAGTAGAAAGACGATTTTTGGTCTTCATGGTATTCTAAGAACATCAAAGTCTCTGACAGTGACATAATACCTGCTGGTCTACTGCTGCCTCCAGTGGTCAATTTATGCCAAACATGTAAACCTGATTTGAGGTTTTTCAAAACAAAATGTACAAAATAACAGAACTGAGCTGACAGATGGAGGTAGCAGTGGATCAACAACTACTGTCTGCTGATTGGTTGAAATGATCATTGTCTTTCCGTAGACTCTGGAGTGTAGTGTGGGGGACAGTGACTGTTTGACTGTTTGACCGTTTTCAGATTGTTAGAAAAGGCTGACGTGCGTAACAGTGAGGTCACGGTTGCGTTGAGATATTTGCTGATACTAAACTGTGTTTCACTTACACAGCAGGGGGCGACAGAGCGACAAGGACAAAGTCAAAATGATGACATTGAACCGTAGAGTAAAAAAAAGAGAAAGAAAGACAAAGCAGCAGAGGACACGGAGAGGAGAAAAGTGAAGCAGAGAGACTTTGAAAGAGAATACAAGTGCTTTCATCTTGTACTGTCTCTCCTGACGCCTGGGGCGAGCCTGCAGCACATTCTCAGTCTCTCTCTCTTACTCCCTACCTCTCTCTCTCGCAGACAGACAGACGGACAGATCAACAAAGAAAAACACATCATACACAATTATGACAATAATGATTGGATGTGACAAAGTCTAAAACCAGCAGGACTTCAGGGATAGCATAACCTTGAAATATCTGAATTTTCCCTTTAATTCCTCCTGGCAGAGCTTTTAATGCTGCTGCAACACGGAGCGTTTACGTCAGCAAAGTCAGAGTTGAAAATGTCCTTTAAGGCTTCCATATTAACTGCCATGTTTTTACTGCCATGGACCAGGTGCTGTAGGATTAGTCAGTAGAAGTAGAAGTTGCGATAACTCAGTGGCTAAGAGTTAGCAGAATACAAGCTAGAGGCATGGAAATGTTTTAGTTCATGCTGGAAACTAAGCTACTATTTCTCGAGAACCTTCTACTCCCGAGGGCTAAGTTAACGTTTATACTGTGGACTTTTCATACTGCAGTGTGTGTGTTATGTGCATTTTACATTCTGCCTCCAGTTGACGCCATCTTTGATCTAACAATCCCAGTCCTTAATAATTAGACTCCATCTGCCTGTGTACATTCTTTCTATGTCAGTATTTTATTTTTCAACATGAAAAGTTTCTTTTGACAGGAAGTACGTGGCATAATCTGCAAAACATTTTTTTTATCATTTGGATTTTTCATAGTGCAGTGAGTTTACACATTCCCAATGTTTGTTTACATTCAGTGAGCATGAGCCGTTCAATTAATCTCAGTAAATTAGACCAACTGTGACTAAAAGTTTGTTCAGATTTGGTAGGAAAAAAATGTATGTACAATACCTCAAGATTTAATTTTCTTTTGAGTTTGTGGCTGAATTTCAACACGACGACTGTAAATCTGCTCTTTAAACCAAAAACAAAAGAAAAACCTGGGGTGAGGATCAGTCGACTTGAGACATTTTTTGTTGCAGAACCTTAATCTAAGGTTTTTCTAGAGAGAGAATTTACTGGAATGTTTTGTACCAACAGTGATTTAGTGTGTAAATGTTGAACTTGTTGAACAGTGATTTAGTGTGTAAATGTTGAACATGGACGAAAAATATTGACTAAAAAATATGATACTGTTGCACCTAAAGGCATGAAAAGAACATTTAAGGTTCATATAACACACCAACTGAGAGGGTGGAGAGTTAGGACTGGCCACAGCTCCTGGATTCTCTCCCTGAAATGGTTAATTCTGTGTGTACGCTACCATTGTGAGCGGAGAATTCACTGGAAGGACGTTTTAAGCATCAATACTAGACTCTCTCATTTAATATTTACTTTGAGTGTGTGTGTGTGTGTGTGTAAAAGTGTGTGTTTTCATTGTGGGCTTATTTACTCTGCTGTACAAACAAAGCAAGGTCATATTGAAGGTGATGTGATCTCAGCATCTCTGCTTTAACATGCAAACAACTTTTTTTTCTCCATATCTCTCTCTCGCTCGCGCTCTCTTTCTCTCTTCTTTTCTCCATTCTGGGTGAATGTCGACCGCCCCTCCAAAGTCAATTACAGCAGCCCTGGGGATGTCCTTTTAAACAATGCTATTAGTTTCTAATAGTTTTTAATCACTGCCCTTCTTTTCCTATAAATCTGCCTCTTCTTTTTCTCTTTCTTTCTTTCTGTGCCGTGGAAAAAAGCTATTTGTGTCCGTGATTAAACAGAGGAGAGGGACATGAACGTGGCGGCCCCTCGTCCTATCACAGCCTCACTGCAGCCGACTGATTAATTCCACTACATATTGCTTGAGATAACCATTTAGTGCTTAATTTAGCCAAATTTATTGCCCGGCATGCCGTCGAAAGGGCGGAGCAGGGGTGGAGCAGCAAAGGGGTGGGGGGATGGGTGTCAGGGGACAGTACCTCCAGACGCACCACGGGGGTTCTGTCATGGGGGCACAGCACTATCTGGTGGAGGGATGTGGATACTGCAGGTTCTAGAAGCATACAAAGAAGTTTTCTTGAGAACGAGAAGTTTCATGAATATCTCCAAAAGACTGTGCTGGAGTTTCACATTGGTGTTAGCATTTAGCACCAGCACCTGTGACCTCCTGGTTATTAGATTGGGCTTGAGTATTGAGTATTTAGCATCTATTTAAAGCAAACATTGAAAACAGAAAAATCTAAATCTGCTACACTTTTTTAAGTAAACACCTGAGTTGTGGAACAAGGGCAGAGTTTAGCTGCCACTGACAGTTGTACCTCGCTCCTCAGGTGAGCCAGGCAGCCTTGTTTTCAGGTCTCAAGGAGGCTGTAAAACATTTGATGTTGTAGAGCATTTTAAAATATTTGAATCATAATCCATCCATCCATCCATTTTCATCTGCTTATCCATCACCGGGTCGTGGGGGCAGCAGTCTCCATGACCACCACCCAAATCTAAATTTCAGAAAAAATATACTTTTTTGGTACGTCAACTTCTGATCACAGTCAGATACTATACCAATAAGTTCCTGAACAAATCTCCGAAAATAAAAGTTTCTCAAAAATGACTAAAAATACACTAATTTGCCGTAAAATACTTAGCTATGTCCATTTCTGTCTTTAAAATTCAGAAAAAAATATACTTTTTAGGTACAGCAACGTTGTCTGTGTCTTTCTGTGTGTGTGTGTGTGTGTTTGTGTGTGTGTGTCTGATAAATGGCGGTAGCAACCAGAGCAGCTTTGGTCCAGCTGTCACATGACATGTGAGGAGTGTCTCATCTTCGCCCTCTGTCTACCGTTCCCTCTCTTCGCCTTGACTGTTCATCTGCTGTCATCTTCCACACACAACATACACACACACACACACACACACACACACAACCTGAAAATAGAAAACCCACAACCTTGTTCTGTTTTTCTCTCTGTCTCTATCAGTGATGAACAAAGGCCAGTGTGTGACCAAGTACTATCGCTGGATCCAGAAGAACGGCGGCTACATCTGGATCCAGTCCAGTGCCACCATTGCCATCAACGCCAAGAACGCCAATGAGAAGAACATCATCTGGGTCAACTACGTCCTCAGGTGAGACAGCAACAGTTGCAGCAGTTACTGTAGTGGATTTAATATATTTAAAAACACAACCTGGATATTTTTACTACTTGATTGACTAATCATTTGAACTGAAATTTAATCTGGTGTTTGTTTGTTTTTTCAAAGCAACCACGAGTACAAAGACACACCAATGGACATTGCTCAGCTGCCGAACCTGCCTGAGAAAACCTCCGAATCCTCAGAATCCTCAGACTCTGAGTCAGAGTCCAAAGAAAACTCAGGTAAAAAGTGGCAAAAGGACCTGTAAGGTAGACGTTACAGTTAAATTACTTGAGGTCAATGAAAAAAGCTGAAAGTTCAGCATCTTAAATTGTGTCAAGTTGCTAAAAATAAGGATCTAGCAATAACTGAAGCAGCTCATTAGTCACAAATTAGTAAAAGGCAGCTCAGCGTTAGTCCAGGAGTTCACACTCTTGTTTACAACTAAATTAAAAGCTGACACTCAGAAACACTCATGTGCTCATTAGATCTCCCATGATTCCTCAGCATCTCTTGGTTTCCTTAGGTGATTCCAGCAGAAAGAGACATACCCTGAGCAGAAGCAGAAGCAGCCAGACTTTTTATCAGCTGGTGCCAGCATCTCTGTCTTTGCCAGGTGGCGCTGGTGTGGTGATGAACAGCCACAGCTGCAGGCAATGTGTGCTGGCTGGTAGCATTTGCCAAAAAAAACAAAACAAAAAGAAAACGCCACAGAACAACATAAAACATGTCGTAATTCTATTTGACAAAATTTCACACAAAAGGTTCAGGAAATAGACTTGAGCCTAGACATTGACAAACCAAGGACAATGTTCGCCTTGAATAGTAGTAAGATTAGAGCTCATACACCAAGGATGGCTACTGTACACTATGAAAGGAGAGTTAACTCAAAACAGCTACAAACAGACCAAATTTAACCACCATTAACTCCCAACTCCCAACACCATGGGTCATTAGGCACCGGGCCACAAAGAAAACAAAAAAACAACAACAATATTTTAGTGTTAAATTTTCTCCTGGGTTAAAAAAAAATGAAACAGCATTTGCTGTCCACCTCGCGTCTCTGCTGTAGTATCCAGCAGCTGGAGAACGTCCTCCTGCAGCAGCTTGTTCTGAGCTCCTGCAGCCTGAGATGCTGTGATGAGGATCAGTGCCAGCTGTTAGGAGAAGCAGGAGGTGGAGGAGGAGCAGGAGGAGTCTGGTCTAGTGGAACGTAAAGTGATAGCAGCTGCAGCAGGAGGTCTGGTACAACAGTTGAGGTCCTGAACCAGACCTTGGCCCTTTGACTTTTGGTCTCTCAGAAGGTAGATCAGTCTACAGCAAATGGGAGAGAAACTGTCCCGAGATTAGAGGTGTGCTTTTAATTTTTAATTCCACAATTAAGATTTAACACTAATTACACGTGACGTTTACTGCTAGTTATGGTTCCAAATACTAACCCTCAGAGCATTAATACACTTCAATATCTGCTCTCTAGCACTGGTACTCTCTGTTCTCCTACAAACAGGTACTCTCAGAGCGTTTGTTTGGAGAGGATCGTCTTAAATGAGCTGCTGGTCAGATTAATGTGACAGCTTTTTCTTCTTATTTAATGTTGTTTAACAGACACTTCCATTTTAATCAGTGGTGAGAAATGAATAGTTCTGTGTACAGGTGCTGTTGAAATATTTAGGAATGTCATCTAAATATTCATGTCAGCTATTCTACAGACCCTGAGAAACATAATTTAATCAGAAGTGTGAGTAAGAGTGCTAAAGGTTGAACTGAGGTTGAAAAGATTGGTAAAAGTTTCCTAAAATCATTGAAAGGCAAGTAATAGTTGGCCAGGTCAGTCATAAATACTCGCTAGCTAGCCTAGAGGAGGAACCCTTGCCAGAAACAAAAAACTAACTAGCTTTGTATAAATGTATGAGAAAAAAAGAACAAAAACTTCTTTTTACTATTTATGTCTCAAACCAAACATTTGAGGACAAATGTAGTTCGTTAGCTAACTAGGCACCAAACGGATTCTGTTCAATTAACAGATTCTTCATGTTTTAGTTCGTGAATGAGAACTTTTTTCGTCTATAATCTGTTTCGTAGCTTGATTTCACAGTGATTGCGAGAATTTGCAAGAAAAAATGATTTAAATATCTGAAATTGGTGAAAACTGTTTGAAGGTTTGTAGAAACAGACAACATTCAGCACAGTGTATCAGATCAAAATATTCACCTGATCTGGACCTTGATGAGCTTCGACATAGTTTGACTACAATGTCAAACCTAAGTCAAAAGACCCATACTTGATTTTCATACCATGTTTTAGTGATTACACCAAAAATAATTCCTTCTTGAGAATGAATCTGTTTCACTTGCTCTCAATGGAGAACCAGGGGTTTTTCTCAAGCAATTGAGTCGTGACATTTCAGGTGCCATGAGGGAATCAGAGCGCTGCCAGCTGGACAGATGCTGGCCACAGCATGTGTTGGCAGCCTGCAGTGTGTGCGTGTTAGTGTGTGTGAGTGTGCGCGCTTGTGTGTGTGTTTTTGTGTGTCTACATGCGTATCAGTGAATCTATGCCAAGAATATGGAACAACACAGAAATCCAGGGAAAAACAGAACTTGTCATTGGAAAAAAGCTTTGAATTGATTTTTCTAAAACAGTTCAAATTTCCTCCCAATAGTTCTGACTAAAAAAATGTTGGGACGTTTGTATGAGAATTTTTGATAGTATTTTGTATGGTCTGGTTGGTACAACAGTCTTCAACAGACACTGTTTTTCCATCTGTTTCCCTTCTCTACACATATAAATCGATACTTATTAATTGGCAGATGGATTTTTAGAAATGGAAAAATAGGCTATATGTTTTGGAGTACAAGTTTGAAATGGGCCTCAGGACCAAGAGCATTTTAAAAGTTAAGCATGTTGGATACATACATGTGTCAAGTAACAGATGGGCTCGGATGTCGCTGCAATTTATTTTCATCCATATTTTTGTCCCCGAACAGACAATGAACACACCAAGTCTGACGGGAAGCCAAGCCACCAAATGGAACACAGAGGAGACCCAGAGGTGGAGAGCAAACATCCACAGCAAAGTGGTCAACCACACTGCTCCACAGAACAGGAGATGAAGCGTCAGGAGGAGGGAGACACTTCGAGTAACCCTGAAAGCCAAGACAGTGACGACAGTCTGGAACCTTCTGATGGTGAGGGGGACGAGCAGGAGGAGGCCAACGGAGATGGAGGAGTGAGGTTGGCAAGGCTTTCAGGATTAGGAGGGTTAGGAGGTCTGAGTGCTATTGGAGGACTTAGCAATCTTGGTGGGCTTCATATCAAAGTTGAGCACTATGGAGAAGGAGAGGAACTTCAGCTGCACAACTCCCCGTCATCTTCTTCAGAAGAGGAGGATGATGAGGAGGAGGATCAAGAGGACGACCAAGTCATGCAGGACTGTGATAGTGTGGACGCTGGAGGGAAACTCCGGAAGAAGCGGAAAAGGAGGAAAGTGCAGAAGTGGGATGGATCCCGATGTCGGAGGCTTCGTTTGTCCTCAACATCACCCAGTCCTGTCACAATGGGAGACACAGCACCGCTGGTCAACCCGTCTCCACCTTCCTCCCACCTCCTTGCCTCTGCTGGTTCTCCAAACAGCCAGGGTGGAACCCCCTCCTCGGTCCTGAAGATCAAGACCGAAATTGCTGAGCCAATTAACTTTGACAATGACAGTAGCATCTGGAATTTCCCACCCAACCGTGAGATTTCCAGAAACGAGTCACCGTACAGCATGACCAAACCAGCTACTGCTCTGGGAACACATGAAAATTTCCCCTCACCCCAGGGAGGCTCGTTACAGGTCTCCATCCCTGACTCTGTCCTAACACCTCCTGGAAATGAGGGAGGAGCTGGAGGAGTGAGGAAGCCTCCATATAATGGAAGCTCTGCTCCAGCATCAGCCTCCAGTGCCATAAGCCTGGCACCCCCATCAAGCGCATCCTCAGCCGACCCACTGTCTCCTCCCCTTTCTGCGTCCCCACGGGACAAACAACAGGGCACTCCTACCACCACCTCATCCACCTCATCTTCATCTTCTTCATCATCATCCACTACTTCTTCGACCTCTTCCTCCTCTTCGCTGCTGTACTCTGGCGACCTCGAGGCTCTGCAGCGTCTGCAGGCTGGTAATGTGGTGCTGCCTCTGGTCCACCGAGTCACAGGGACACTGGCCCCTACCAGCACAACAGCACCACGAGTCTACACCACAGGGACCATCAGGTACGCACCAGCTGACGTCACCCTAGCAATGGCACAGGGGAACCTCCTTCCCAATGCCACTATGAACTTTGTTGACGGTTCGGGATTCGGCTTAGACCCGAAGACGCCAATGGAGATGCTCTACCACCACGTCCACCGCCTCAACATGTCAGCGGCTGCGGCTGCCGCCACCGGTAGCCCGTTTGTTGGATCTCCGACAGCCACTGGTAGCAGTAACGGTTCCCTGGGAGGCCAAATGCCAACGGGGGCCAACGTTTTCACCACAGCCGAGGGACTTTTCTCCACGCTGCCATTCCCGGTCTACAGCAACGGGATCCACACCACACAGACCACTCTGGAGAGGAAGGAGGATTAACGCAAAGCGCTCAAGACCGCATTACTGTGTTTTCCCGAATCAATGACTGTGCCAACAAAGACTGCTCACTAGTAAAAATAATAATAATAATAATAATAATAAATTAATACATTTGTACCTGTTTTTTCTTGATTAGACACGGTGTAGCACTGTGTTCCTCAGAGTGGAAACTGGACAGATAAAGGACGACTGGAGCACTTTGAATCTGAGCTACTGAGCTTGTGAAAACCCCTCATCCATCCTTTTCTACCTTTTTTCTCTCTTTATGTCCTCTTTTCTGTCTCTGTCTTTCTTTCTTTGCTCCTCTTTGTTGCAATCAGGCAACACCTTTCTCCTGATAAAGCGACAGACTATTCCTGTAAAGAATTCCTTTTCTGCCTAAAGAGAATTCAGATTTGCCTAAGGACTCTTGTCAGAGCCTGTAGCAGTGGAAAACTTTTTCTTATTCCACTTGTTTCTGTCACAGATTGTGTGTATTTAACCTTGGACGGTAACAGGGATCCGTAGCGGAGCAGGAAATTCTCTTCCTCTCGACGTATCTTGATGTGATCAAGGCTTGAAAAGACAAGAGAGGAGAGGTTTCACAACAAAGGCCTCAGAGATAATAATCTTTTGAAAAAAGATGTTTTTTTTGAGGATGTTTCTCGATTGAGGGAACAGTTAAGAGTTTCTTTTTCTTTCTTCCTCCTTTTTTTAAAAATAAAATATTCTAGCTCAGATTTATCTAACAAATCATATAGAACAAAACTAAAAAAAAAAAGCAATTCAACCGGGTAACGACCTGTGAATTATCGAATGTTACTAATTCCTCTCTTTATCCCAGGAGTTTACTGACAGGTCTCGCACCGAACATGACCTCCTCTCACATCACACTTCCTGTCTCAATCTCTTGCTCGTTGGCGTTCACTACCTGATGTTTTCCATCTACATTTTGACAAATTCATGGTGCTACCGTCCATCCGGTCACCCAGAATCAGCTGGCTGGTGTGGCTGCTGCAAAAACCAACCCACAGCTTGTTGTTTGACGATCACCACCGATGGTTTGGGTTTTTTTTTTTTTTGGTTTTGTTTTTTTTTTTTTTTGTTTTTTGTGGAGGAGAAAATATTTTTGAGGACTGCCCTTTTTCTTTTTTGACCTTCCGGAATGTCAGGAAATAAGCAGGAATCTCATATTCACGTACGACTCACGTATAAATCTATTGTCCCCCCGTTTTTTTAGGACTTTCAAACTGGTTCAAACATTTTTGTAAATCAGTTTTAGTCAATTAGACTGAGGATTATTGTTTTTGCTGCGGGTAACCAAATGTATTAAAAAAAAAAATGTGTTCACCAGAATAGACCAGGAGATGAAAACAATGCAACAAACACTCAAACCTGTAATTTTATGACGTAATTATTTCTGATTCTTAAAACTAAACCAAAATTATTTCAAAAATGTAATATCCAAATATCCAATTTTTTCCTAAATTTGATGGTTATTGAACTGAACATCGTTGGTGGTTGATCAGTGACATTTTTCTTTGGTCTCGCTTGTAAAAGATGAGCTGCTCAGCAGTCAGTGGTCGCCACTGTCTGATTCTCCTCTTTGTGAAGGTTGTTTTGACTGTAGACAGATCTGGACTGCAGGCAGGCCAGACCAGCTTTTTTTGGAATACATTTACTTTAGAAACTTAACATGACTAACTATTTTAACTGTTTTTTTAAGTGTTACTGATGAATGTTGAGGAGGAATTTCTCCAGCTGCTCCTCTTTAATCCTTTTGTTTAACATCTTCCTCCTGAGCCTGCTCCACCTCCTCTTCTTCTTCCTCAACCGGAATCACCTCCATGAGATTTTCCTAAACAATCCACTTTCTTCCATCTCATTGCTGGATCCTGTGAATAAAACACACATATCAAGAAGGAGATTGTAATAAAGACATTTTTGAACAATCGCTCAATCAATCAACACAATGACTACGAAAACAACAAGGACGGAAAAAAAAGTCACATTCCTTTGTCTTTGACGTCGTTTCTCCTTTATTTTTGGTTTTTCGTTTTCTTTTCCAACCTCCTTTGCCAAAAACTGATGTTTGGTGTTTTTAAAAGCACTGTGAATCTCCTCCATTTGTAACTTTCTTCTACTTTTTAACTTAAAAGAGGAAAAAATGGTGACAACAAGTAATAATAACATTATTAATAAAAATAATGATAATATTCATAGAAACTTTCACAAAGCTCTTTTTTGAAGGTCGGCCGCCCCATCATCCTTATTACCCTCCGTGTGGTTAAAGCCGTAATAATAAAAACTGTGTTACCGATGTGTTTTCGTGTCAAAAACGTCTCTCATGGCGACTCTCTCTCTCTCTCACTCTCACTCGCTCTCTCTTTCTGTCTCTCGCTCTCTGTGTGTTGACTATATGCAGTATATACTGAGCTACTGTAGCTGTTTTTGTCCTTTGTCTTCTCTGTGCTCTTTCTCTGGATTGGTGAAGAGGAAGATGGGCGGGGCTTAGATGGAGATGGGCGGGGTCTATGTGATGGACAACAACTGTGGTGCAGACATCTTTACTTGGTTATTACATCCCTGAGGCCATGAGCTGGTAGATGATCCTCATGACAAACTCAGGAGAGTCTGAAATATCAGTATTAACAGTATTAGTCCAGTTATGTCTCTCTCATTCAATCATTTGAACGGATTTCCATTTAAGGCTGTTTGAAATTGTGATGTTTGCTCTGATGTCAGAATGGATCATTTACGATGGTTGAATAAAAACCAGATCAAATAAACGGCAACACAGCTCAACAATTGACAAACTTGTCAAAGCTGTCGGAGACGCCTGAGAGACCTGTCTCAACATGATGTAGTTGTCAGTTTGAATGACTAGTCGTTACTTCCAGTCTGTGTTTACCATTCATGGGCGTCTCATCAGCAGTTAATACTTCAGTCTTTGATGCCGGGCTTTCAGTGTTTGACCACATGTCTTACTCTTGGAAGAAACATTATTTTAAAAAATATGTCATATTTACAACTAATTACTGGGTAGTTATTTTTTCCACAATAATGTTAATGAACATCACTCAGATAGAAAGAAGACTGATTTCCACATTGATTTTCACCTTAATGCTTCTTTTTTTTAACTAAGAGAGTCGACCCCTGGTGGTTAACAGTTACCTTTGTCTCAGTAGGTTTTAGTTTTAGAACTAAATCAGTTTTTTTTCTGTACAGTACATTCATTCAATCAAGAAGACAGTCATTTGGCATTTCTGTATACAGTACATTGAACAAAAATGCAATTTGGTCATTTAAATTTCAAAGGTATTTTGAAACGACAGCAAGTGTGCTTCAGATGTAGAGATGTCTGCCCTCTGGTCCTTCTCCAAAGAAGCCGGATTGTTGAAAAGACAGACATCCCTCTTCCTCTCCACCTTCTCTTTCTCCTCCTCTCCACCTTCTCTTTCTCTGTCTTCCTCTATCAGCAGTCTTAGTGAAACCAGTGGAGGTTTGTGGACTTTTTTTCTGTGTTCGGTGGCCTTTGCAAAAAAAAAGAAACAGTCAAAAAATTTAAAAAACAAAAAAAAAAAATGGGTTAAAACCTTTGTGGAGTCCACCCTTTTTTCTGCTGCTTCCTCTTCGTCTTTGTAAAAACCTTTTCTTTACTGTTTCTTTTCTCTGTTGCTTTTCGCTGTTGTGTAGTCTGAAACGAAAACCTCTTTATCTCGCTCTCTTGTCAGAGACGAAAGACTCTTTAACTAGCTCAAGGTCTACGGAGCCATGTTTTTTTTCTTCTTCTTTGCCTCTAAGGAATTCTGGGAATTGCAGTTTCTAGCTCTCACGCACAAGTTATTAGGAAACTAATAAATGTAATGATAATACGCTGAAGCCTAAACTGTAGCATTTGTTGATGTACTATAATTCTGGAAAAGTTATGATGAAAAAAAAAAGTGAAACATTTCCCAGAGTCCTTTGGGGCTTCCTGTGTGCATTGGGTGTATTTCGTTGGTTCCCACCTAAAACAACTTGTTGACTTCCTGTGGAAACAAGTGGTTCATGGAGGAAAAAAAACTACATTTGAATAGAATCCCAGTAGAATTTCAATTCAATACAATTTTAAAGATTTCTAAAGAAACTAAAAGAAGAAAAAAATATTTCGCACTACAAATCTATTTTTATAGGTGTTTTGGAAAAATAAACTGAACTGCATGTTTAGTAAGTTCGTCTTCTGCGTTTCACGTGATAGAGCCCTCTTTTTGGTTGTTGCTGTGTTAGTTTTTGCTCCAATGTTTTTGTGGGTTTTGTTTTATTGCCATTTCAATCCATTGAGCCCAACAGTGGGCGGCGGCATTCTTTAGCTCCGCCCCTTTACATCAGGAAAACCAATCTGTGGTGTTTTTGCTTAAAAAGCGAACAAACCCAGGTTATAAACTCAATCAAATGTATTTATTTATTTTCTTATTTGCTAACAATATCGTTTTGGGTTTTTTTGTGCCGCTTGACGCATTAGCTTATTAGCAGGAGTCATTAGCGGTTGAATGTTAAGGTTTTTGTTCATTTCTGTCTTTTGACATTTTTCTACTTTTATGTTTTTGCTTGAAAGGGTCTGTTGGGGGCGAGGCAATGTTAGTTCTGGAACAAAACAATAGGGGGGAATGTTATACAAAGGGAGCAGGGCATACACACACACACACACAAACACACACTCAGCCAAAACCAGGAAATACACCCACATGTAAGGAAAAAATGCAAACAGCTGAGTGTGAAGCTGTTTCAATGTCTTTTTGTGTTTTATGTTGAAAAATGAAAAACTTTTGCTGGTGATTTAAAAAAAAAAAAAAAAACTTTAATCGCAGCTGCTGTTGAAAATACATGGTGTTTAAGAATTGCAAATATTGAAGAATCACTTCATTTACCTGTGAAAGAAACTGTGTCTGTGTTTTTAACTATTTCTTGTACAATTATACAGATTCTTTTATGAGGAACTTGGTGCCAAGTAGCGAAATACGGGAGAGAGGGAATCTCTTATTATCAATGTTAACAGTGTAATAAAGTTCTAAATACAAACAAATTAAAATATTAAAAAAAAAACAACTATGGTACATTTTATTTTCCTTTTATGTCTCTTACACAGAGCGAAACACTCAACTAACTGATGCTAACTTTGAGTGCCTGGTTTAATTTGATTGTTGTTATTGATGAGTTGATCATTAAAACACGCTTCATGAGTATTACTGCAACTCTGTGAAAACTGTACATATTTAATTTTTACTTGTTCTTTTCTACGTTAACTCATCCGTACAAATAAACAGCTCACGCTCTTTTCTGTAACTACTTTATTTTTTTTACTTTTACATCTTACAGGTGCCATATTCATAATAAAACAAGTTCTCTGGAATTTCCTACTAGATTGCATCATTTCTTTGGTTGAACACATTTATCGTTCATGCCAGAAAGGTTTGCAAATGCTGTCACAGCAAGAGATCTGCTCTTCTACCTTCACTTCTATTTCTATTGACTTTAATTTCCTTCATGGTGCAAAACAAGAGAAATGCTCCACAAATGGCCAATGTTTGCCAAAAATGAAAGAAAGAAATAAAACCCAGCACAAAATAACTCAAAAAGCAATTCAAGCATTATTTCTGTGCTACCTTTTATCCAAAATGATAAATGTAAGTTAGCCTACACAGGCTGAGAGTAATCGCTGTGACTAAAATGCCTGGAAACTCTTTTCAACTGGATGAAGGACATTTGTACAACCTGCATATGGTCAGAGCTAGAGTATTCAAACAAGTGAGATTTACCGTACATCTCTAGGTTGTATGCTAATGTGATGTTCCTGGGGTCATCTGGGGTTTTGGGTCTTTCAACATAATACCCCCTCACACGCAGGTCACCCAACCGGGGTTGATCAAGTCCCGGTTTGCATCCCAGCCACTGTAGTCCAAAGCCATCAAGTGGCTTTTTCTGTGGCTTCTTTGATGGAACGTATGGCTTCCCTCCGGTAACTCCAAGCCCTGCTAGAACTTTACAGATAGAACGGCCAGCAAACCTCCTGCAGCCCACCTCAATTGGTTTGCAGTGAGCCCACCAGCCCCGGCTTCTGCACTCCTCCACCAGGTCCTGGTACTTTGCCATCTTCCTCTCATGCGTCTCCTCCATATGCTCCTCCCACGGTACGGTCAACTCCCACATACTTACAGTACCTGCTTGGTGACGTCTGAGTATATTATCAGGTCTGGGCGCAGTCTGTTCTGGGTGATGTGTTCAGGGACCCTTAACTGTTGTCCACGGTCCACTGTCAGCTGCCCTCTTGCCCCAGGTGTGTAGATTTGCTGGGCTTGGCAGGGTCTCATAGACATCATGGACCAGGAAACACTAAGCAACGAGATGGTCCTGAACAGGTCGAGGTCTCTGGAGTTCTCCTCCTTGGCGATCCACTCCCTCAGCATATCTCCACTGGTTGGAAACTCTAGTAGAATATTTTGTGGGATTATTATTTTTTTTGTACCAAAAGATAAACGACGTATGACATTTTTGGCAATTTAGCACAAATTGTTCTTTGAGTTCCAATTTTTAGAGAAATTATGGTATTTTCGGCACCTTTTGGACATTTTGTTCTTCTTCAATCTTTTATTTTATTGTTTTTTTTTTTTTCAAATTGGTTTAGTACATTTTTGGCCAATTTTTTAATTAACAAAACATCAAGTTGTGCATTTTATTTGTTCCAATTTCATTAATGAAGCAGATTTTTGTCATAACACAATTATGTTCTAGAATTATGTGCATTTTATATGTGGGGGCACATTTTTTGGGTAGATTGTTACATTTTAAGTTATTTTGGAAGCAGATTCCAAAGTGAGAAACAGTGTGGCATCATCTGCATATGGTCAAACAGGTATAATACTGTCTTGCCTTTACTTTTTTATTATATTTATTCTTACTTCTTCATCCATTCCTCCTCTTTTTACTCCTCTTCTACCATCTCCTCCTCCACCTCCTCCTTGCTCAGGCTTTAATAAGAGTGGGAGGTCAGTCAGTCAGTCGACCCTCTGAGGCCAAGCAGCCGACTTTAAATATTTCACACTATTTTAAATGAGCGCACATGAATCATAGATCACAGGCAGCGCTCATCTGTGTGTGCGTCTGTCTCTCTTTTTCTCTCTCTCTCTTTTTCTGTGTGTTGGTGTGTGTGTGTGTGAACTCAAACCTGAATCTCCTTCTAATAACCTCTGGCTGTCCGTCTCAGCGAGGAGGTCTTATGTGGAATTTAGATCTGACAGCATCATATCGTTCACTGGGGGACGTAACGAGCCGCCTTTCATCAGCTGCCATGATGGAAGGATGATGAAACAAAGTGTTAGAGACCAAAAGTGGCTGATTTTCACCTCCTCTACATCCCCAATTCCCAACAAGCAGCGGAAGTTAAACATCACAAAAATCTGTACTTAGTGTTTCAGAGATGTGAATTTCCTGAAGTTAAAGATATCAGTGGTGTGATGTTCCTACAGGAGGGCTCGGCTGTTGAAAAATATACTGGATGTTTTGTTAAACTAAACACTACAAAAATCACACTAAATTCAAACTTAATTCAAAGTGTTCTCCTTTACAGTTCTATACCAATCGAAGTGAAGTTTATACATCGCTTCCTCTCCGACACAAAATTCTCACAAAAATCTGTTTTTTTATCATTTCTCTGGTCCAATCTAAATCTTCAAATCTGAACTCCAGTCCATCTCTTTGGTCATGCATACGAAACAAAACTCTTCCTCTACTATTTGTTGTATTTTTAATGTCTTTATAAAATATCTCTTCTTGTATGCCTTGTTGTATGCCTTCTTTGATTTTATTATTATTTTCTTTTTGTTGTTGTTGTTGATTTTATGTGGTGACGTGTTTAACACCTTCATATGCACCGCAGGGCTGGGAACCAGTACTGAGCCAGGGATGAAAATCTGACGGGCCTCACCTAATGAATGAAATGTTTATTTAAATTTTTTTTAATGTTTATTGTAATTTTATTTTAAAAGACGATCACTTCCACCCACTGCTGCTTTTTGTTATATGAGTCAGTTGCTTTTTATAATGAACTGGTTAGCCTTCAAACTAACCTGAGTAAAATAAATAAATAAATAAAAAACAACAACGTTGCTGAAGAGCTTTAAAAAAGGAGAAAGCTCTAAATCATCATAAAAAATAAATCGGCATTTAGCTAGTCCCAAAGTGCATAAATACTAGTCCCAAAGTGCATAAAATAAAATAAAAATGTATAGTTAATTTATAATTATTTAGTAGTAGTAATGATAACATTTTATTTATTTATTTATTTGATTATGAGTTGCAGGCCAGCAGTTCCTGCGTTCCGTCAAGCAAAACATGTTCCCAATTGGCTGCAGTTCAACGGTTCAAAATATTTAAATACTATGAGGATAAAAAGCTTATTGTTTATTTTTATTTACGTAGATGCATGGCCGTAGTCAGCTATGACGTCACTGAGGTCCGAACCTCGATAAAAAAAATTCAGCGAGAAAACAAAAAATAAAAGCTCCAAACATGTTAAACACATTAACACAGCGAACAAATTTATTTTGAAACCACACGCAGGAAGTTGTCTGACGTACACTACCGGCGGAAATCGCGGGAAGGAAAAACAAAGACGCGAGGTAGGCGACAGCGTTTTTATTCTTGTGTTCCGCTCAAACAGACCGCTGTCAGTTATGTCCAGTTATGACTCGCGGTTGTTGACCGACGCGATAAGTGTCTTGTAAATGTAGTCAGCCCAGACTGCAGCTCTGTGGATATCTGTGATTTTAGTTTGGAGTCCAGGCCGACAGTTCAGTGGAGCGACACTGACACCTAGTGTCCGCAGCCATGTTTAGCTTAATGTTCAGTTTGAGTTAGAAAAAGAAATATATCTTCCCACATCAAAGATGCCGCAAAAGTTTTTGTCAAATTTTAAATATTTAAGTGGAAGACGTCACTGGAGCGTATGCACTGTTTTCAAGTTTGATTCTTTTAAAATTACAAATATAGTTTATTTCAATTTCGTGTTTTTCCTGTTTTATGTTTTATGTCCGTTTTGGTCATTTTCACATCCCAGGAATGTTATAATTTAGCAATTTTTGCACAAATTCGACAGGTGCATATAGTATTTTTGTTGTATAAAATTAATAATTTCTCAAAACTTTTATAAAGAAATACATGTGCATTTTTTCACTGCAATAACATCCATTATAAGTCATTTGAGAAATGTTTGTTTTATTAATTTTTTTTTTTTTTTGGAAAAGACGTTATGGTATGTCATCTGTGATCAATTAATATCTTGATTAATTAATATAAAAAATTAATTAAGTGAATTTCTTGACAAAGCACAAAACAAAATTGCACCCGTTGTTCAAACATATGTATACTTTATATATACAGTATATAACAACATTTTTTTAAATGATGTGTGTTATATATATAATACTTATACATTTATATTTTTAATTTTCAGATTTAGCTTATACCTTCAGCTTAACATTTGACAATTCCAGAACATTATTTCGTGTGTTATAATTATTTATATATTTTGACATGTTTGCCATGATTCCAAACCATTTCATTGGGAAACATTTTTGTGTCTAGCTAAGTAATTGTGAATACCTTCAACCAATGGCTGTTGTTAGGTGTTAGGTGAAGGAGTGTAAATTTAAAAAGCATATTTGCTTATACCTTTTATTGTTTTATTACATTGAATAGTGTAAATATCCGTTTGCAACATTTCAAACATTCACATTTTTGTGATTTTTTTCAGATTAAAAGTTTTAGAAAACAACTGAGTCGTTGATAAAAAAAAATAGTCTACTAAATCCCAAAGAAATCTTTATGTGAAAACTTTAACTCTCGCTTTGGATTAAATACCATTATAGAAAAAAGTGCAACAAGAGTTAATTTGTAAATAATTAAATAAAGTAAATGTGCAAAGTAACTCAAACAGACAAGGACATTTGGGGATGCTAAGAATTTTAAATCATTTATTCATCATGACATCCTATTCTTGAAAATGTTCTCAAGTTTACAAAGAAGAAAAATCAATTTTCTGTCATCGTAAACTTTTCACGTATAAACAGTTTCTAATGTGACTGATCACATTCTTTTCGTCCTTTTTTTCGTCCGTGGACGAACAAACTCTCGTCGCCGTAGCTCTGCCTTCTCCTGAAGTGTAGAAAAATAGGTGCAGTCTGCCATTTTTCACCAGAGAAAAGAAATCTCACACAAAAGAAGGAACTGTGCTGAGCAGCTGCTGGTCACGTGACCTCATAGCAGATTAGGACGACAAACACCAGCAAGAGGAGCAGTAGATACAAGGGTTCTCCCTCCGATTTTTCCTCTTTCTCCTTCCATTGTTTTGTGTTTTTTTTGTGGAAGTTTTCGTCGTCTTTTCCTGCAGTTCAGGACAACAACCCTAGAGGGCAATGTTTCCTCTGGATCAGCTGGAGCTGCTGCTCTGCTCATTCGAAGCTGAGGACAAGGAAAAAAAAACCCATCAGTCGAACATTTTCTACAATAATTGAGCAACGTTTTGACTTCCTGTAATAGTTTAACTTTCTTCATTGTCTTCTTCATTCTGGGATTTATTATATCTCTGATATTTTTATATCTCTTTTTATATCTTGGTTAAAAAGGAGGGCAAACTTGCTTTTGTTTTGAGCCACTTAACAAAAGTCAACATAAGGCTAGGTATCTCTCATGGCTTTAATTTGGTGATGTTACCTGTCAGGTCTTTGAAGCGTCTCTTGGCCTCGGCTCTTTCCTCAGAGTCGAAATACCAAACTGTGATGGCATATCTAAAAACAAAAGACAGAAAAACCAAACTTTACATGGAAATAAGATTTGACTTTGGAATCATTTGAACTTTTTCTACAGAGACCAGTGGCTTTGGCGCGATGGGTAGTTGATGTAATTACACCCTGACACCAGCGAGTGTCAGCAGAGTATTTATTTAACATGTTGACAACGGTTATAATTGTGACACAAATTTAGATTTTTTTTTTTTTTTAAATGCCTTTTTTCTCAGTTTAGCTTCTGGGGCTTCTTTCTGGCAGAATGTTCAACAATTCCGTGGCTAACTAGCTGCTTTTAGCCCGTTGGCTAACATTTAGCTCTTTGTGCTAATAATAAAGCAACAACAGCTTTTACTCAAATTAGTATGATGATGACAAAAACTATTCTTTCTTAACTTTTAACTTTTGTAGCTGTTTCCTAAGTGAAGTGAAGTAAAAGTAAAAGCAAGAGTTAAAAGCCTAGTTTTCCTAAAACAACACTTTGATTGTCTGGTATGAGAGTAAAAATAATGGACAGCTGGATTGTTCACCTGGTGGCGTAGCTGGGCTGCACCTCATGTGGGTTCCTGCGGTCGGACCAAAAGAGGAGCAGACGGTCGAACAGAGGCTTGATGTCGGCCACGTACGGTTGTCCCTCAGGAAAGATTCGCAGGATTCCACCGTGTTTCTGTTTCCACAGAACCACAGAAATTAAACATAGAAGATGAGAAGAATTAAAAACTGCGTGTGGTGGAGGTTACAAACATTTAAAGGTTAATGTCGGGGGGGTGGGAGGGGTGGATTTCCATACCTTGGCGTCCCAGTTCTTGTTAAGGTAGTAGATGCAGGTGATGCAGCGTCCGTCACGATTTGGATTGTCCACGTGTTTGACGTAACCCGCTCCGTTACCTGGGTAACAGGCCACCATCGCCTGGAAAGAGAGGCAGAGGAGGAGAGACGTGTGATGAGGGGGAAGAGAATCTGTCAACTTCAGATAGAAAACTAAATATTGTCAAAAATAAATCTTTAAAAATAATAATTCATGACTATTGTTGGTGACTTTACTGCCAATCCTGACACAATGTTTTGTCTCACTTTTTAGCTAGCTTTTAGCTAGGTGCCTGAGCTAACTCTTTTAGGTGATTTTTGTTTTTGTCTTTGACAAATTAATTATTTTGGGGCGTACTTTTGAAAATACTACTATGAGATTCTTGCTTTTTTATTTTAACTTCTTTGCGGGCTAGTTTTTTTCTTACATGTATTTTGTACATGCACATATGAGCGTGTGAGGGATCTGTCTATGACAGCAGGATGGGAGGGTTAGAAGAGCGTCACACATCTGCAGACACACAGTTCCCCGACTGCAACAACAACACAACATCGACCTTCTGTAACCTCAGTGACGTCAGCGTTTATCGCCCGTAGTCTGTGTTTACACAGGCTTCACATGCACCAACGAGCCCCTTGCAAACCCCGCCCCCTACTTTGTCTTTCTATGCTAGGGGACAAACACACACACACACACGTTCACTCACACAGAAACACAGGAAGGTGTGGCCGAACAGGAAATGACACGCACAGACTCAGAGTTGAGTTTGACTGTATCTTATCTGAGTAGGCTGATATGGAGGGATGACAGAGGAGGAGTAGAGAGAAGGAGGAGGAGGGGAGGAGGATTGTGGGAAGTGGAGCGTCTGGCATGCTTCCAGCCCCTGACTGTTTAATGACAGAGCTACGTGCAGAGTGTCAGGCTGATTCTACAACAACAACACTGAGAAGTGTCAGGCTGATTCTACAACAACAACAACACTGAGAGAACGCAGGCAGCAGCTTCCTCTCCTCCACCTGAGAGAGACCACATGGTCGTAGCCCCCCCCACCCGCTCACCCCCTCACCTCGTACACACCCCAGAGGTCAATTGATAAATACAGGAGGTCACACGAGACACGTTCATAGAATTCTGTGTAGAATCATTGATTTTCTGAACAGGTGTGGTTTTTAGGTTTACAGTCTTCATCTGCCTTTTTGCACCAAAGTCCACAAATGAAATCAGTAACTTTTTTTTTCATGAAAAGGTTGTGTCATAGCTGAAGAATGTAGAAAGTGACGACTGTCTCAGAAGTTACTTCTGAGGTTTCTGAGTTTGTAAGTGCAGTTGTGACAGGTTCAGGTTCCAGGAATCACTTCTGGCTCCTTTACATTCATCCAGTTATACTGAACTTTTGGCATTGCTATTTAAGTGAGAGTAGACAAAACACCAACCTCTTCACGTGTTATCAGCTAACAATGTATTTAATCCTGTCTCATAGGTTAATATATGGATGAAACAGGACAGAGTTTCATACGTTATCATCAATAAACGTAACCCATATTTGACAAACCATGAGACAGTCTGTTGCAGGAATGTTGAATCTTATTAATATTTAATAGAAAAACAATTGTTTTCATCCCTTTTCTTCCACGTTTTGATCTTTTCGATTTGTGTTTGATTGTTTTTCTCTGAGGTCAGTTTGCTGTTTAAGACTTGTGGACTTTTGAGCTGATGCCAGTGGGTTCTGTCGCCCTCACCTTTGACCTCTTTCCTACCTCTATGTCTCTGGTATGGACCTTTGTTTTGTTAGTGGATAGATAGATCTGTGGGTCAGGGTGCCCTCACCTTTGACCTCTCTTTGACGGCCTGGATGCCCATTCTCCGGGCGCACACGGACACCAGTCTGTCAAGCAGGAGCAGCAGGAAACTCACTGCCTCACAGCCGCGCTCTCCGCCGCTCACCCACGCTATCTTGTCCCCGCGGATGCTGCGACGGTGGACGCCGGGAGCCGCCCCGCACAGTCGGCCGTCCTGCAGAGCTCCGACTCGGTGCCGC